AGAATGCTACAAAAGAGAACAACATCCAGGTTTCTATTGTTTCATGGATGTGGTATATGAAGTTTTGTTGATGTTATCCTAGTTAATGCTAGGTCCTGTCGAAGGTGTGATCTGTTGTTGGATTTGATGCTAGATATGCCGAAGTTGTTTTGGATAGTGAGGCTTCGTATACGTTGACCGTTCAAAGACTTGTAATCAAGTTGGCGTTTACCTAGGATGTTGTTCTCTTTTGTAGCATTCCTGTGGGTCTCTGAGGGCCCTCCTGGCTGTCTTGGGGCCCTCATTGGCCGTCTCCACCTGGCGCACGCGTCGCACCTGGCGGGGACTGGGTCGGTGCACCTGGGATGTTGAAATATGTGATGCTCCATGCGCCAGGATGACGTGAGTCCACGACCTGCGCGGGAATGCCGTGAAACTTGTACAACTTGTAAAACTTCCGCGTAAAACTTGTTGGGGAAATACGTAAAACTCGTAAAACTTGTCAGAGAGAAACCTTGTTGTACAGTGAAAGTCTTCTTTCTTTATAAGCTTTACAAGTTTTACGTCTTTCTCCAACAAGTGTTAAGCGCACGCTGTACAAGTTGTAGCAAGTTTTAAGCGTTTTCCTGATGCGGCGCAACTGGCCATCGCGCGGCGCCCCCCCCCCCCCTCCCCCACCAGGGGTCGGGCGGGCCGCGCGAGAGCGGCTGCCGCATCGTCCTCGGGGTCGCCCTTGGAGACGGGCGTGGCGGGCGCACCTGGCGAACTTGGAGCACTGCGCGCACCTGGCAAACCTTGCTCACCTGGCGCACGCGGCGCACCTGGCAGGGACTGGGGCGGTGCACCTGGGACGTTGGAATATATGATGGTGGCGCCCGGATGACACACGTGCACGAAACTAACTCCCTCACATGACAATGGCGGTGGCATCGGCGTTGTCGATGGTGACGCCGGAGGCGCATGTGTTGACGCTGAAATTGGTGTGCGGGAGTCGTTCCGTAATAGTGGTGGTCACCACCCCCCGAGCTTCTTAAAAAACCCGCGCGCCCTTGGACAGGCGACGCGCCCTGGCAGGCCCGCGCCCCCCTTCCCTTTGCGTGGAGAAGCGCATGGAGCTGGTGCAACTGGCACAACCAGTTCTTTGCCGGACCTGATTTTTGGTTAGCAGCTCGTGGACCAAGTGCATGGCCAGTTCTACGACCAGTTCTGTCCAGTTGTACCAGTTCTGCGCGCGCAGAGGCATGCGACGGGGGCGCAGCGCCCTTACTCCTCGAAGTCCGCGCCCTTCGCGGCCAGCAACGCGGTGCAGCGCCGCTTCGTGGACTTCACCAGTGGCTCAAGGGTGGCCGAGGGGACCCGCATGATGGTGCGCTTCAGGCGCCGAATGAAGGCGGCCCTGCTCTCCTTCTTGGACGGCGGGAACTTCGCCCCCTGGCCCCGCAGGCGCTTATTGATCATGGACCAGAAGCCGCAGTCAAAGGGGGTTGAGGTCCGGGCTGCGCATGGGGAAGGGAATGCACTTCACCATCTCCTTCGCCTGAAGGCAACCCGCGCCCGCCCAGCAGGCCCGCCCCCCGGAGCGCGCCTTCGCCGAGCCGCGGGGCCAGCGGGCCCGTGGCCTCGAAGGAGGCGCGCCCAAGATGGAGCCGCCGATTGGACAATCGAGGAAGGCCCTTAGCCACTTTGCTGAGTTTGGCCTTGTAGCCCGCTGATGGGTGCGGACACATTTTGTCCGGGGTTAGCTGCGAGGCAACGCGCGAGGGACAAAATGTGGACACTTCAACTTTGAGTTTTTTTTGGGGGGGCGAGTCAAATGTAGATTGCACTTATTGTTGCCATCATGTCTGACTGCCTTCTCGCCGTCGGTGTGGACACATTTTGTCCGGGCACCGTCTGGGAAAGCATGTTTTTATTGTTTCATGGATGTGGGTATATGAATGTATGTTGATGTTGTCCTAGCTTATGTTAGGTCATGTCGAAGGTGTGATCTGTTGTTGGATTTGATGCTAGATATGCCGAAGTTGTTTTGGATAGTGAGGCTTCGTATACGTTGACCGTTCAAAGACTTGTAATCAAGTTGGCGTTTACCTAGGATGTTGTTCTCTTTTGTAACATTCTTGTGGGTCTCTGAGGGCCCTCCTGGCTGTCTTGGGGCCCTCAGTGGCCGTCTCCACCTGGCGCACGCGTCACACCTGGCGGGGACTGGGTCGGTGCACCTGGGATGTTGAAATATGTGATGCCCCAGGCGCCAGGATGACGTGAGTCCACGACCTGCGCGGGAATGCCGTAAAACTTGTACAACTTGTAAAACTTCCGCGTAAAACTTGCTGGCAAAATACGTAATACTCGTAAAACTTGTCAGAGAGAAACCTCTTTGCACATTGAAAGTCTTCTTTCTTTATAAAGTTTTGCAAGTTGTACGTCTTCCCCAAACAAGCTTTAAGCGCACGTTGTACAACTGTTACAAGTTTTAAGCGTTTCCCTGATGCGGCGCAACTGGCCAGCGCGCGGCGCCCCCCCCCCCCCCCACCAGGGGTCGGGCGGACCGCGCGAGAGCGGCTGCCCCATCGTCCTCGGGGTCGTCCTTGGAGACGGGCGTGGCGGGCGCACCTGGCGAACTTGGAGCACTGCGCGCACCTGGCAAACCTTGCTCACCTGGCGCACGCGGCGCACCTGGCAGGGACTGGGGCGGTGCACCTGGGATGTTGGCATATATGATGGTCCAGGCGCCCGGATGACACATGTGCACGAAACTAACTCCCTCACATGACAATGGTAGTGGCATCGGCGTTGTCGATGTTGATGGCGGAGGCGCATGTGTTGACGCTGAAGTTGGTGTGCGGGAGTCGTTCCGTAATAGTGGTGGTCACCACCTTCCGAGCTCCTTGAAAAACTCGCGCGCCCTTGGACAGGCGACGCGCCCTGGCAGGCCCGCGCCCCCCTTCCCTCTGCGTGGAGAAGTGCATGGAGCTGGTGCAAATGGCACAACCAGTTCTTCGCCGGACCTGATTTTTGGTTCGCAGTTCGTGGACCAAGTGCATGGCCAGTTCTACGACCAGTTCTGTCCGCGGCCAGCAACGCGGTGCGGCGCCGCTTCATGGACTTCACCAGTGGCTCAAGGGTGGCCGAGGGGACCCGCATGATGGTGCGCTTCAGGCGCCGAATGAAGGCGGCCCTGCTCTCCTTCTTGGACGGCGGGAACTTCGCCTCCTGGCCCCGCAGGCGCCTATTGATCATGGACCAGATGCCGCAGTCGAGGGGGTTGAGGTCCGGGCTGCGCATGGGGAAGGGAATGCACTTCACCTTCTCCTTCGCCTGAAGGCAACCCGCGCCCGCCCAGCAGGCCCGCCCCCCTGAGCGCGCCTTCGCCGAGCCGCGGGGCCAGCGGGCCCGTGGCTTCGAAGGAGGCGCGCCCAAGATGGAGCCGCCGATTGGACAATCGAGGAAGGGCCTTAGCCTCTTTGCTGAGCTTGGCCTTGTAGCCCGTTGGGTCGATGTCCTCCAGAATGAGGAAAACCCGCGTCTTCGCGTTGGCCTTGCGCAGCGCCGGGGCCAAGGCCTCCTGGCACATCTCCGCCGCCGTCGCCGCGTTCCAACGTCCGTCCACAACGTGGCACATGAGCACCTTCCTTGCGGAGATGGCCACGGCCACGTTGACGTTCTTGCCGAAAGAGGACTTGTTGCTCTTCCTCGGCTCGACGTGGCCCGAGGAAGCCTGGAGACGGCCAATGAGGGCCCCGAGACAGCCAGGAGGGCCCTCAGAGACCCACAAGAATGCTACAAAAGAGAACAACATCCTAGGTAAATTCCAAAATGATTACAAGTCCTTGAACGGTCAACGTATACGAAGCGTCACTATACAAAACAACTTCGGCATATCTAGCATCGAATCCAACAGCAGATCACACCTTCGACAGGACCTAACATTAACTAGGATAACATCAACATGAATTCATATACCCACATCCATGAAACAATAAAAACCTGGATGTTGTTCTCTTTTGTAGCACTCTTGTGGGTCTGAGGGCCCTCCTGGCTGTCTTGGGGCCCTCCTTGGCCGTCTCCACCTGGCGCACGCGCCGCACCTGGCGGGGACTGGGTCGGTGCACCTGGGATGTTGAAATACGCGATGCTCCAAGCGCCGGGACGACGTGAGTCCACGACCTGCGTGGGAATGCCATAAAACTTGTACAACTTGCAAAGCTTCCGCGTAAAACTTGCTGGCAAAATACGCAATACTCGTAAAACTTGTCAGAGAGAAACCTCTTTGCACATTGAAAATCTTCTTTCTTTATAAAGTTTTACAAGTTGTACGTCTTCCCCAAACAAGCTTTAAGCGCACGTTGTACAAGTTGTACAAAGTTTAAGCGTTTCCCTGATGCGGCGCAACTGGCCATCGCGCGGCGCCCCCCCCCCCCCTCCCCCCACCAGGGGTCGGGCGGACCGCGCGAGGGCGGCTGCCCCATCGTCCTCGGGGTCGTCCTTGGAGACGGGCGTGGCGGGCGCACCTGGCGAACTTGGAGCACTGCGCGCACCTGGCAAACCTTGCTCACCTGGCGCACGCGGCGCACCTGGCAGGGACTGGGGCGGTGCACCTGGGATGTTGGAATACATGATGGTCCAGACGCCCGGATGACACACGTGCACGAAACTAACTCCCTCACATGACAATGGTAGTGGCATCGGCGTTGTCGATGGCGATGCTGGAGGCGCATGTGTTGACGCTGAAACTGGTGTGCGGGAGTCGTTCCGTAATAGTGGTGGTCACCACCTTCCGAGCTTCTTGAAAAAACCCGCGCGCCCTTGGGCAGGCGACGCGCCCTGGCAGGCCCGCGCCCCCCATCCCTTTGCGTGGAGAAGCGCGTGGAGCTGGTGCAACTGGCACAACCAGTTCTTTGCCGGACCTGATTTTTGGTTAGCAGCTCGTGGACCAAGTGCATGGCCAGTTATACGACCAGTTCTGTCCAGTTGTACCAGTTCTGCGCGCGCCGAGGCATGCGACGGGGGCGCAGCGCCCTTGCTCACTCCTCGAAGTCCGCGCCCTTCGCGGCCAGCAACGCGGTGCAGCGCCGCTTCATGGACTTCACCAGTGGCTCAAGGGTGGCCGAGGGGACCCGCATGATGGCGCGCTTCAGGCGCCGAATGAAGGCGGCCCTGCTCTCCTTCTTGGACGGCGGGAACTTCGCCTCCTGGCCCCGCAGGCGCTTATTGATCATGGACCAGAAGCCGTAGTCAAGGGGGTTGAGGTCCGGGCTGCGCTTGGGGAAGGGATAGCACTTCACCTTCGCCCCGCAGGCGCTTATTGATCATGGACCAGAAGCCGTAGTCAAGGGGGTTGAGGTCCGGGCTGCGCTTGCGGAAGTGATAGCACTTCACCTTCTCCTTCGCCCGAAGGCAACCCCCGCCCGCCCAGCAGGCCCGCCCCCCTGAGCGCGCCTTCGCCGAGCCGCGGGGCCAGCGGGCCCGTGGCTTCGAAGGAGGCGCGCCCAAGATGGAGCCGCCGATTGGACAATCGAGGAAGGGCCTTAGCCTCTTTGCTGAGCTTGGCCTTGTAGCCCGTTGGGTCGTTGTCCTCCAGAATGAGGAAAGACCGCGACTTCGCGTTGACCTTGCGCAGCGCCGGGGCCAAGGCCTCCCGGCACATCTCCGCCGCCGTCGCCGCGTTCCAACATCCGTCCACAGCGTGGCACATGAGCACCTTCCTTGCGGAGATGGCCACGGCCACGTTGACGTTCTTGCCGAAAGAGGACTTGTTGCTCTTCCTCGGCTCGACGTGGCCCGAGGAAGCCTGGAGACGGCCAATGAGGGCCCCAAGACAGCCAGGAGGGCCCTCAGACCCACAAGAATGCTACAAAAGAGAACAACATCCAGGTTTTTATTGTTTCATGGATGTGGGTAGATGAACTTATGCTGATGTTATCCTAGCTAATGTTAGGTCCTGTCGAAGGTGTGATCTGTTGTTGGATTTGATGCTAGATATGCCGAAGTTGTTTTGTATGGTGACGCTTCGCATACGTTGACCGTTCAAAGACTTGTAACCAAGTTGGCGTTTACCTAGGATGTTGTTCTCTGTTGTAGCATTCTTGTGGGTCTCTGAGGGCCCTCCTGGCTGTCTTGGGGCCCTCGTTGGCCGTCTCCACCCGGCGCGCGCGTCGCACCTGGCGGGGACTGGGTCGGTGCACTTGGGATGTTGAAATATGTGATGCTCCAGGCGCCAGGATGACGTGAGTCCACGACCTGCGCGGGAATGCCGTGAAACTTGTACAACTTGCAAAATGTCCGCGTAAAACTTGCTGGCAAAATACGTAAAACACGTAAAACTTGCCAGAGAGAAACCTTTTTGCACATTGAAAGTCTTCTTTCTTTATAAAGTGTTACAAGTTTTACGTCTTTCTCCAACAAGTTTTAAGCGCACGCTGCACAAGTTGTAACAAGTTTTAAGCGTTTCCCTGATGCGGCGCAACTGGCCATCGCGCGGCGCCCCCCCCCCCTCCCCCACCAGGGATCGGGCGGGCCGCGCGAGAGCGGCTGCCCCATCGTCCTCGGGGTCGTCCTTGGAGACGGGCGTGGCGGGCGCACCTGGCGAACTTGGAGCACTGCGCGCACCCGGCAAACCTTGCTCACCTGGCGCGCGCGGCGCACCTGGCAGGGACTGGGGCGGCGCACCTGGGATGTTGGAATATATGATGCCCCAGGCGCCCGGATGACACATGTGCACGAAACTAACTCCCTCACATGACAATGGTGGTGGCATCGGCGTTGTCGATGGCGATGCTGGAGGCGCATGCGTTGACGCTGAAGTTGGCGTGCGGGAGTCGTTCCGTAATAGCGGTGGTCACCACCTTCCGAGCTTCTTTAAAAAACCCGCGCGCCCTTGGACAGGCGACGCGCCCTGGCAGGCCCGCGCCCCCCTTCCCTTCGCGTGGAGAAGTGCATGGAGCTGGTGCAAATGGCACAACCAGTTCTTCGCCGGACCTGATTTTTGGTCAGCAGCTCGTGGACCAAGTGCATGGCCAGTTCTACGACCAGTTCTGTCCAGTTGCACCAGTTCTGCGCGCGCAGAGGCATGCGACGGGGGCGCAGCGCCCTTGCTCACTCCTCGAAGTCCGCGCCCTTCGCGGCCAGCAACGCGGTGCAGCGCCGCTTCATGGACTTCACCAGTGGCTCAAGGGTGGCCGAGGGGACCCGCATGATGGTGCGCTTCAGGCGCCGAATGAAGGCGGCCCTGCTCTCCTTCTTGGACGGCGGGAACTTCGCCTCCTGGCCCCGCAGGCGCTTATTGATCATGGACCAGAAGCCGTAGTCAAGGGCGTTGAGGTCAGGGCTGCGCATGGGGAAGGGAATGCACTTCACCATCTCTTTCGCCTGAAGGCAACCCGCGCCCGCCCAGCAGGCCCGCCCCCCTGAGCGCGCCTTCGCCGAGCCGCGGGGCCAGCGGGCCCGTGGCTTCGAAGGAGGCGCGCCCAAGATGGAGCCGCCGATTGGACAATCGAGGAAGGGCCTTAGCCTCTTTGCTGAGTTTGGCCTTGTAGCCCGCTGGGTCGTTGTCCTCCAGAATGAGGAAAGACCGCGACTTCGCGTTGGCCTTGCGCAGCGCCGGGGCCAAGGCCTCCTGGTACAT